TCAGGCATTTGTCGTACAAGGACCTTCAGACCAGATACTACTTGTTATTTATATTCTCAGCGATAATGATATTCAACACTAGACACCAGTCTGGATTATTCTGAGCTTCTAGGTGGCAGATTTTATTTTATTCCATGCTATCCATGAAATATACGTTTTTGAAATATCCCAAGTAAGACTACTAGCGCTTGACGCCGGGTATAAAACCAACTGAAGAGCTACGAAATCTATTGCCTTCTATATAAAGGCAATCAAGACATAATATCATACATCTTAATCAAACTCAGGTCGAAGTCCAATTGTCCACTGGGATACATTTGTCTCCCAGCAACTGTATATATGCCGTAGACAAATTACTATAAAACCATCATGCTCATGCATTTGCTTAACTAGTTTTTGCTGCGGGCCGTGCTTTTTTGGCAGCGTTACTACCAATATAAAAATGTATTGTATTTTATCACATATAAATTTACACACACGGTTGCATAGTGGTGAAATGCATACATTACATGTGTTGCAAGTTGAGCCAAGTGCTGCTGGCGGCCAAGACTAACCGCAAGTTCAGAATAAATATTGGTGTAAGACACACACACACACCCACACATGCAAAGAATGCAGGAAAAATATTGTTACAAAGCGTGTTGTAAAGCGCAGTGGCACAGCTGCATTTGCTTAAACACACATTTACATGCAAGCATAGACAGACAAGGTCAGTAGCGCGATTGTCGAATTTTACTCGGTCATATAAAGTTACACCTATATAGAATTGCATAATTTACATATATGGCAACTGTTTTCATGTGCATGTAAGAGTGTGGGCTTAGATCAGAAAAATTTTAATTTAAACCCAGAAATCGGAGCTGCTCCGACGTACTCCGTTGCTCGTAAATCGATACGACAAAATGGTGTATTTTCTCGGTATCGTAAGGGGTTATATTCGCTTGCAGGTTACATAAAACGTGTTTTTTTTAGAATTAAAAATAACGTACATTTACAGAATTTAATGTAGTTCAATATTAATTTTTAAAAATTTTTGGATGCCCTTGTTTCTGTAGGCGATTTCCGAGAGACATTATTAATACTTAATAATGATCAAAAAACTATTCGATTTCAACAAAAAAAAAAAATTGGAATTATATTAAAAATCATTGCTTCGATCATTACCTGATAAATATATCTGAGAAGGTCGTGTGAAAATTTGTGTGTTCAGAAAATTATGTTATATAAATTATATTTATATAATATTATTATATAAATTTTAAGATGTTAAATTTCACGGGTTTGGTGAGTCTAATTGTCAACGTTAAGTTGATATACAAGTACATGCCTCCGAAGTACCATACAATTTTCAACTTTATTCGTTGTCTGTAGCAGCCTCCATATTCGCCAGACATGGCTCCGTGTGACACTCCAAAAATAAAGATTCTTAAAGGGCGCTCGTTATACTTACATAGCTAACATTAAAAGAGTATTGGTATAGTTTTCAAAAAACGAAAATTCCCGTTTTTATTAACATATCCGAGTATGGTATTTTCTTTAACTCCGGTTAGAGCGTAGGGCCAATAATCAAAGAGCAACATAAAAACTAATAATTAGTCGAATGGCCTCAAAGATTCCTTTGTAAAACGGTATAAAAAAAAATCTGGATAGCTAGTAAAGCATATAAGATATTTAAGACATATCGACTTGTTACCTCTGTAGTTTAATCTTGGAAAGAAATATTTAGTTGGATTAATATAACGCTATGCCAAAATAAATAAAGGATTATTCTCCTGATAAGCGAAGAGAAGACGAAATATCTCTCACTTTATCGACGAGATTCATAATAGCAAAGTTTTAAACAATTTCATCAAGTTTTTAATCAAACATAAAACCTCGAAATTAATAAAAATTCAGCAAAGAATCATATATGTCAGAATGGCCATTTTATTTGGAGTGTAGGCCCCAACTATAGTAGCCGTCATCTAGTAGAGAGAAGAAATACGAGTATATGTGATATTGTAGTGTACTTGGTTAAAATTTTGAATTGTAAAGAGAACTATTTTCTTAATAATGGTGACAGTTGTAGGTAAAAGCTTGCCGGACAATTTTTAGATTTATAACTTTTTATGTCATCGAAATTGGACGTTGAGGACCCCTTTTAGCCTCTAATAGAATTTCCAAGTCGAAATTTACCCCTCTTATTAATTAGCTTAACATTTTATTGCCATTAGAAAATTGGCGGCTAAGTTCTTGGATTTCATTAACTAAATTATTCTACGCTATTTAGAGCACGAACACTGTAATAACCATCTTTGCTATTTTTTCTGAAAGAGAAACATAACAATACTTTATAATATTTCATTAAAAAGATGTTGCAGAATCAATTATTCGTATATTTTTATAAAATATTTTAACATTATTTCTATAGTTATTCAATAGAATAAAGTAGTCATCTGAAAATATCTCACAAGAAGTGAGAGCGTTAAGTAACTTTTCCTCTTCAACTAAAAGCAGAAGAATAGTCAAGAACTCACACACCAACTAAGAACACAAATACTTCACATTTATTCAGCACAGCGATAGCGTTGACGCCGAAATGTATGCTACAGCAGAGACTTGAATCTCACACTATCCACTCATGCACTAATCGTGTCTGACGCCAATGACCACCCACCACTTTAATACAAAAACTGCCAAGTGTACATAAAAAAGAAAAAACAAAAAAAAAAAGAGCGAAATGTGAATAATAAAATTAATGGAATAAAAAGTAACCAATTGAACCGTTACATGAGGTGATTGCCGCATTTGGTATCATACCGACCACAAGAGCGTGCAGAGGCGGAAATGAGGGCTCATCTACAACCGCAGAGGCGAATGGATCACACTATGCGCCTCGTAAATCAATTGTGCCACATACTCATTATACACTTATATATGTACATACACGAACTACTGTAGATAGATATATTTTTATTTGTCGCATTTGTGGCGGTGTGTGTGTGTAGTTGTGCACCTGTTTGTATGCTATGTGACTGCGCAATTAAAAGTGAATTTCTCACGCTCATTGCCTCTGTGACATCCGATAAACAAGGCAAATTGGCACAGATTTCTCGTCGGCGTGGCCCATCGGCCGTCCACCTTCCTCGCGCTTGACAGCACAATCTCCATGCCAGTGACACCTCTTGCACTTGCGAAAATTGCTCAGAGCGGCCAACAAGGCTGGAATGTACGCGCTGTGTACTTCGCTGACGTGGTCCACCTTTGCCATCCATTAAATCGTTGCGGACGGCGGAAAAGTGGCAATTTTGTAATCTAGCATCTGTTGCAATGAACCGTTGCCGCAAGTTCCTCTCGCTTTCGGACGCCAATTTATTCGTACATGTGTTTGTGTTTGTGTATTATTTAACACAACAGCAGTCGCATGGAAGTGTTCCAAATCTGTGCACTTCTACGACGATACCTTCGAGTGTGGCATAAATGAAAATATTGACACATTTTTTAATTTATGATATCACTTGCGTAAGCCAACCCGGTGTATGAAAGTGTGTGCATGCATGTGTGCTTTGCACATATTTAGTAAGCTCTTCATTCAGGTGGACTGAAGTGCACTCGTTGGATGACTTAAGCATTATACTCGTAGATATTATGCAAATGGGTTGGATTATCGATTACATTCAAGTTTAAAATTTCGCTGGAATTTTCCTTGTAAATATGATGGCATTTTATTATTTCAAGCGCTTTTTTGATGTAGCGATTTCTTTTCAAAATTCAGGTTCATCTACACTCTTCTTTATGTAAGTGAAAAATTCAGAGATGTGACTTTTAAAATTTGAAAATCCAATAAGTAATGTTAACAGCAATGCAATATGTTTCATTTTGTTATCAATTCTTAATATTTCTATTCACAGAGTGTAATAGTTATATAATTCAATCAGCTTTTCAGTTTAACTTCAAACGTTTTTGCTTGAGTGATTGATTAAACGGAGACAATTGATCTGATCAATATCAATGCATGTTTCGTACATACTAAAAGTTCTTCATACAAAGTCTGTTGAATTGATTAAAAATTGGAATTTGGCTGAGCAAAAACGAACAAAATTTTTGATACAATTCAAATTTTAATTTTTCCAATTTCTTTTGCTTTGTCAACACTATACAGACAATAGCTTCAAGTAGAGATTTTTTGCGGCCGTCGAAGATTGCTTGTAACTCGAAAAATATTTTTTTTAAATTTTATTATTTATTATTAAAATATATACCTTTTAAATTTTAAGATAACTGATACAGTCGTTTTTTGTTTTTTTAATTTCCAAAAGTTGCCTTTTTTATGCTTTAACACAAAGTGTGTAACTCCCATCTAAAAATTGTTGAAATCGGACCATTTTCCAACCCCCAGATACCGAATGTGTCGGTCCCAGTTTCTATATCTGACTTTATGTCGAAAATATCGGTCAACTTGAGAGAAATTTTAATGTAATAAGTGCGCACCTTTTCTTGATAAAAATGAGGTCTAGTGCTGAAAATAAATAAAATCGGTTGATAATACTTGTATATCACTAAAAGTAAACGTATTACCTTAGCCACTTTGTAGTTCGATGCCCAAAATCAATGCAATCGGTCCATGAATTAATAATGCCGCCACATAACTATAGTACTAAATATAATCGTTTTTAGTTGACTGTCTGTTGAATATATTGGTCAATATTTGAGTTATCTTAAAAAAAATTAATTTAATACCAAATGTAAGTGGAATCAAACCAGACCTTTACTAGGTCAAATATATATGCATAGTTGTTTTAGAACTTCCGGTAGACTCTATAATGTACATATGTATCTGTCGATATGTTAAAGAAATGTATTTAGCGTCAAAAAGAGATAAAATCGGTTCAGATCTTGCTCTAGATCTAATATATGAGCTATCTAGGTCTAATATATGAGCTATTTTAATGACATTAATATGTACAATATTATATACAACGCTTATTAAATACTTTCATTCTCTCTTACTTTATTTACAGGTCGTGCTTGTATTTATACTCAGCATTGCATCACTCATTATTTACTTCGTGGATGCATCTAGCGAAGAAGTCGAAAGATGTCAAAAATGGAGTAATAACATTACTCAACAAATCGATCTCGCATTCAATATATTTTTTATGGTTTACTTTTTTATACGAGTAAGTTTCTTATGTTCTTTTGTAACTCCTTTTATCTTATGTTCTCTTGCTCCCTCTTACCTGTGTTATAACTTCTCTCTTAAACCTTTTGCGGAAATGACCATTCACCAATTGTTTGCCCTGATTAAAATTTAATATTTAACAAAATATATATAACGATCACTCCGTGGAGGTGATTGGAAATATTTGTGTTCACAAAAGGTTTAATTAGTGAAGGTGAAAGCAACAATTAAATGAAATTAATTAATACTTCTCTATTTGATTTTTATTTTACACCGAAAAATTTGTTTATAAGACATTTATAGACGGTTGTTCTCGAGCCATCCGTCCATTAAAGTCATTCTTCATTGAATTGTTCAAACTATTCCAAGATTATTATACTAACATATGGTGCTATGTATTAACCATTTAGGATGGTGCTTGTAGTAAAAAAAGAGTTTGATGTTTAAGACAATAAATGTCTTATATTATACATATAAATTCTATAATTTTTGGTCTTTAATCCGCAATGAAATAGTCTGGCTTACATTAAGTTTGTGACTGAGACTGATTTCTAAGTATGCTTTTGTTTTCGAAAATTTTAATTGAAGATAACGGTAAAAAATTGTTAATTTAAGAAACTAAATTATAATGATGAAGAAAATGGAAAGATTTTTGAATCTGTTGTGGTCTTAAATTGTACAAACCTGATTAAAATTAACCTAGACTGACAAAAAATACATTTCCATAAACTTGTTATACGTCTCCGCTGGGATGGACTTCAGAACCTTCGATGCCTTCAGCGAATTTGCTCTTTTCTGTTTCGACTAATTTTTGGAGCGCTATTTGCTAGATTGTTGGACAGTTCGACATCACATTTTCAACCAGTAATTAGTAATGATGCGTTTGATGAATGTGGGGTCCTTAGCTACGTTCTCAAACATTTCTTTTACGACCTCTACTCAACGTCGTTTTTACAAAAAATATAGGCCTTTAGGTACGAGTCTAGCATTCACACGCTAAATACCCAAAACATTAACCAAAATGTGTTGGTTGTGTTGTAACTAGTTCTAACAAGACGGGGCTTCATGCCACACAGCACGTGCAACAACCGAATAAACCAGACTCTCTTAAATCTTTAGAAGTCAATATTGAATGTGCTATTCATGACATGTGACTTGCTTTAATTAGAAAAAAAATCGAATTTTCGGTTAATCAAATTCGTTCCTGCAAAAGAAGTCGTGAAGACCATTAGAATGATGTCATTTATATTCAGAACTTAATTGTATCGATTGTACTTCACATTAAATGAAAAAAACATTTAAATCCCCTTAACAATTAGTGTGTGTTTTTTTTTAAATCATATCGACTCTTATTGGAAACCCCTTTATAACAAAAACAATATCTGCAACCAATTGACTCATAACTGTGACCCAGTCGTTGCTAAAAACTTGTAAAATAGCTTATAATTTACTCACCTTCCTCCCCTGTTTATTTCATTTGCCATATTTTAATTATTTTCCATCGATTTTCTATTTAAAATTTTTGTATTTTCTTTGCATTTGCAGTTCATAGCGGCGTCCGATAAACTTTGGTTTATGTTAGAAATGTACAGTTTTGTAGATTATTTTACAATACCCCCGTCCTTTGTATCAATATATTTAGATCGGACATGGATCGGTAAGCAATATTTGCACACATGCATTGGCAACAAATAAAACAATTAATAAATTCTAAATTTCAAGCAAAAAACTAAGACAAAAAAATTGCATATGTATGTAAATATTTAATTACTTTTCCTTTTCTACTTCATGCATATGCCACACAAAACGCACACAACTACGCGAAAAAAACAAAACAACAACAACATCTGTAAACTACCTCACCAACAAACATACTCTCACTAACACACGCACGCACACACACACAAACGCGCCGCACACTTGTATGTGTTGGCTGTGATCGAAATGGCTGTATGCAATGGATTTTACTCTAAAAAACATAAACACCAACAACGAATTACAATTGGCTACGCGAAATGGGTTGTTGCAATGCTACGCGCACGCAGGTCTCCGATTTCTTCGAGCGTTACGCCTCATGACTGTACCGGATATTTTACAATATTTAAACGTTCTAAAAACATCGAGCTCGATACGCTTGGCTCAACTAGTATCAATTTTTATATCTGTATGGTTAACAGCAGCGGGCATAATACATCTGGTATGTATGGACACACACGCATATTTGTCTATATATAGGTATATATATCTATAGAGCTATTGTAGCATCTGTGTACTCGTCACTATGCTAATTATTATTTGCCTGGTACTTCATCCATGGTTTTCTTCCACCTGTTTGTACTTCTGCATCTATCGACATTTTTGTAAATATCCTCATCTACATTATTGTTTTCATTTCCACTCTCTCAATTTTTTTTATTAATAACCAAATGACCATCGAACGCTTTGAGCAGCTGCCCGTTAAAGCCAGAGAAATTTTCGTATGTGTGTCAGTGCGTCGGTGGCTGCGCCTGGCGTGCAACTGCCGACCGCACTGTCAAAGGCGCTGTTCATTGAGTTGACGGACATCGAAAAGAAGAAGAAGAAGAAAAAACCAAATATTTGCATAAAAAATATAATTAATAGTCCAATAGTATAAATCGTCAACGCTGTAGTGGTTTGCCGCACGCTGGGCGCTTGGCTGCAAAGGCGGCGGGTGTTTTGCAATTAGTTCTGGAAAAGGAACACAGCGCGGTTTGCATCACTACAGCTGCACATTTGCACTGTGCCGCATACATACATATGCCAATATGTATGTTATGCGCGCATGTATGTAGATAAAGCACTAAGCAACACGTAATACATAGTAATGGCACGCAAATACATGCATTACTTAATTAAAATTAAAAAAAAAAAAACTTTTGTAAAATTTTAATTTTGATGAGCGCGTAATTGAATTTGCAGAATCACTAATAACCGTTGATAGCAGAATTATGATAATTAGCAAAATTTAATTAAATTACTAAAAATCTATGGTCCAATATTACGGATAGCAACTTGGCTTACAATTTGAATCAATATAGGAAACTACAATATTATTTTTAATAGAGTTGACAGTTTGGCATAAACTTTGAACTGCGCTTTTATTTTTGATTAAAGCAGTAGTTTTCAAGACTGTTCAGGATATCTTATTTCTACAACAAAGAAAGTTATGAAAATTGCATAAAAGGTCTTGGCATAAAAAGATCGTATCTAGATTTTCGGTCAGATTGTTTGACAGCTTTATGCTATATGCCCGATTGTAGCACTGCCTCGGCGAATAATCTATGCCAAATTTCGTAAAGATTCATGTCAAATCCAAAAGGTTTACATAAAAGAGATTGACAAGAATCGGTCAGTTTGTATGGCAGCTATAGCCTATAGTGGTCCGAAATTGTCGGTTCCGACAAATAGGCAGAAAAAGGACGAGTACAAAATTTAAGATCAATATCTCAAAACTGAGGGACTGGTTCGCATATATGTACACAGACAGATGGACATGGCTATATTGGTTTAGCTCGTCACGCTGATCGTTTATACATATACTTTAGAGGGTCTCCAACGTTTCCTTCTGCGTGTTACAAACTTCGTAGCAAACTTAATATATCCTGATATTCTGATAAGGGTATAAATATGGACATATCACAATATACATAGTAAATATTAAAGCCCTCAATAAAACCAGCCCACTAAATTGAATATGATATGCTCTGAAAATAATCTCAATAAATTCATGCGTTAATCACCCTTACCCATACTCGTACAATGGTATATTATTTCTCATCTGTTCGTTTAATTTTGATAGAATACTCTGAAAAGTGGGTTCTCTTTATATTTCTGTCCTAAAAATTATGAATATGATTTGGAACAAGACTTCTTTCAAACGTGTTAGAAATGTGAGCACCTCGTTACCTAAATGAGACTCTAGTAAATATTCTTGATGTGCATTGCTAAAACTTAATGGTGCTTTTAAGCGATTTTTCAACCAATTATTGAGATGACTTTCTAAATTTTAAAAATATTTAAAAATATATTACTACCTCCCTGAGTCTATTACCACCTTCAGGATCCGACTTCATATTCGACTTAGAACCTGTATGAGAATTCCAGGCTAAAAGCCTTTGGATATTAAAACGATATAAAATCAGAATCGAACATTATTTCTGCTTTATTTAAAAATTAGCGAGGAAGTCACAGTATAGATTGATCGTTAGAGAGAGTTTAAGTATTTTTATGTATAGATCTGATAAATACCATTTTCGCCCTTTCAAGAAAGCAAATATAATTTCGGTATGAATATCCAAAATTCGAGACAGAATATAAATGGACTCAACACAAAACCAAACAGAGCATATATTGTAGAAAAAATAGCAATGGTGATATTGGTGTTAGGAGTAGAATTACCATTTCTATTTTTGTAATCGTAGCATTTGGGAATAGCTCAGTTGCCATCCGTAAAGCAGTGGCCAATAAATGTATTTGCGTTTCCAATGTATCTACATATGTTATGGTTTCACGTTTCTTGTTTTTTTTTTTGTTTTCGTATTTTCTTCAATTGCTGCATTTATTTAAAATTTAGCTGGAGAACTCTGGCGATCCGCTGGATTTTAATAATGCTCATCGATTATCCTATTGGACCTGTGTCTATTTCCTAATTGTGACCATGTCAACGGTAGGATATGGTGACGTTTACTGTGAGACTGTATTGGGAAGAACCTTCCTTGTGTTCTTTCTACTCGTCGGCTTGGTAAGTTGTAATTTACATAAACACACATATACATATACACTGTGCGAAATAATTGAAACTAATTGAAAAAACCCAATAATAATAATAACAAACATTTTTTTATAAAAATTTTATCAAAGAAAAAATTTTTTTTGTGTGAAAAAAAATTAAAAGAGATACAAAAATGTAAAAAGTTAGGTTATAATAACTAAACTGCGAAAAAATTGTGCCCGATTTATCTTACAGGCACAAAATTTGTATTTAAAAGTGCCAGTTAAAGTAAAATATTTAAAAGATTTATAAAAGTGTGAGCACATAAACGAATATAAGGTAATAATTAAGCGCAACAACAATGTCACGGTCCACCATATTAAATTTTATCTATGCTTCTTCTTACAACACACGCGCCAATGAGAGTAATACTTAGTTGCCTATGAAAACATGTTATATGAAGCTGTTTTGAAGCTTTTTCTAGGTAACCCCACCATACAAGCGTTTTGGTAGCAGTGAGCTCTCTCGTTATTGCCGTTTGTTTGTTTTGTTTGTTGGTTAGCATGGCAACAGCAGATTATTGAATGATTTTCGAAATACCCAATTTAAAGTCCTGAAAAGTTCCTATTCCCCTGAAAACCAAATTGCTTTAAATTATAAACGAATAAAATTAAAAAATAGTAAATAAAAAAATGCAATAGTAGTGGTGTGAATGAAAGTATGTTACAAAAAAAAATTTAAATATTTTTTATATCGATATTCCTAAGACTTTAAATTCGCTTTCTCCAACAATATACTTAAAAACTATATAGAGAGTATTTAGAACTAAATTAGTGTAACGGTAATAACTTATTAAAAATTTTAAAGTATGCATTTTTTTCAACAATAGCGATCCCAAACCCCGTCCATTAATTGACATTTACTACTTCAAAGCCACATAATAAAAATACAAAGTAAATGGAGGCAGTAAATATTTTTTTTTCAACTTTTTTGAGAAAGTATTTTAGTGTTTACTTATTTTTATACCGTTAATGACTTTTTTGCGAAGTATTATTAATTCTAATAGTTAAACAGTCAATGCAACTACTATTAGGTCGTATTTAAACAGAATTAGCGTTATATTATAGATTCGTTTTAACAGTCACTAATTTAACAAAAGCTTCATGAATTTTCAAATCCGTCACTGACTCGATTTTAGTGCCATTTATTCACATAATTTTTAGCTTATCGAAATTTACATTTTTGAAATTGTATATGAGACAAGTATACACACATTTATGCACAGGTTTTTTCTTTATTAATCCATGCGCCGCCACTCCCCCCACCCCTTCTTTTCTATTTCATGCTTAAACATTTGACTTGAAATAAAAAAATCAAAATTTTTTAAATCGAAATTATACAAAAAAAAATTATTGTTTGTGTTTAACCTTAATTAAATTTTGCTTTCGTAGTGATTACTAAATGAGTATTTATTTTTTATAAACGCTTTGAAGGCATGCAATTTATTTATTTAATTTTTTAGTCGTTCAAAAATAAAGACACAATATATAAGAATTTAGTGAGCAAGAAATATATCATGCACAATTCAATAACATTTCAATTTCAGGTCCGAGAAAATAGCTTTTGCTCACAAAGTAACAAAAAGTAGGCTTGAAATTAAAAAAATAATTTTTTCTTTCCAAAACTAAGAACTTACGTTGACAACTGGCTCGACAGTTGCATCTTTAGGAAACTCTACATTTCTTAAAACAACCTAAAAATACTTTAATTAAAAATAAAGACTTGACCATGTAAATAAATAAAATGAAATAACCGCCATAATCAATATCCAACATTTTTTTTGCAATAATCCTAGATAACTTTTTTCAATAGGGGTTTAGGTTTTTGCAAGTTTTTATCGACCGAAACAAATAGTAGTCAGAAGGAGGAAGGTCTGGCTATAAGGCGAGTGATGCAAAACCGCTTTTTTCCAAATAGTTTTTAACCGGGCTTGCAACCTGAAGTCAAGCATTGACATGACAGAAACTTATTGCCTCGTGCTTAGTCGCATATTTTGGGCGTCTTCGGCAATCGCTGATCCTACCAAATACAAAGCATTACCTTTGCGTCATGGATATACAGCTTTGCCGATTGGTTGTCCAGATTTCATATACCTATGTTTGTTTGCATTTAGGGTTGTCGTAAGACATCCATTTTTCATCACCAGTCGCAGTCCGACGCAAAATCGACATCTTTCGGACAGACAAACAGTCACTCGCATTTCAACTCGTCTCATCATCCTGATAATATATATGTACATAACCCTATATCTATTTCGATTACTTTTAGGTTACACAAATAACCGTTAGATGAAAAAACGATTATTCTCTAGAGTATAAAAATCAAGTCAGATTTTCTAAAATACAGTTTAATACATATATCAGTGTCAACGTTCTTTATACTTTGGACAAGTCTATATAATTTTGCAGAGATTGAGAAAGATTTCAAAACAGTTTTGCTACTTTGTGAGCAAATAAGATAAACCACATGAGTAGTAAACTATACTTTATTAATAAAATAATTTATACACTGAAAGCTAATATATAAATAAAATGCAAAATATTCAGGTGATCTACACAAATACGCCGTTATGAAATAATGTAGACTTTACAGTGAACTAACCACAAATTAAGCGGTTCGAAAATAAGAAACCATTTATATTTTTATCTAAGAACATACTCATTTCTTTAAAGTGTACACATATCAAAATAACATATGAAATTTTAGGCAATGTTTGCCAGCAGTATACCGGAAATAATAGAGCTCGTTGGTAGTGGCAATAAATATGGCGGTGAACTGAAAAGAGAACACGGAAAGAGGTAGTCTAAAGAAAATCAAACTGTCTACAAATAATATCGTTAAATAATTATAATTAATTGCAATAAAAGTACAAGTAAATATGTATACTAAATATTATGATAAATTCGTACATACAACATAAATATATATATTTACATACTCATACATAGTAACTTAAAATTTTCAACACACAAATAATACTAGTCAAAAATATTTTATAGATATCTAACTGTTATATATAACTATGCCTACCGGCCTTTCATATTAAAAAATATATATTTTTTAGCTAAAATTAACATAAAGAATTATAAATGTAAAGCTAAACAGGTTTTTATTTATGTATGTGCAGTTTTAATTATATTTTTTTATTGCCAAGCTGTAAAAGACTGCTATTACCAAGCATAATTTTTTTATGAATTTTTTTTAAATTATTTATTTTTCAATGTATTTTTTCATTTATCGTTCAAGTTAATTTCCTTATTATTAACTTTTTAAATTTATTTAACCTTTAGCTGTAAAGATTTAAAAACATTTCGGTTATTTCACTACAATATTTTTATTATAATTTAAAACTGATTTTAAAATGTATTACAATCTCTGCTTTCTTTAAACATTACGATAAATGTAGGCAACAGTTTCCTCTTATATTTCAATTTACAACAACTAAAATATTGCCTAGAACTAGACATGAAGATAGCTTACATTATTTCCTGAAATATAACCTCTGCAAATGGGAACTTACAACTGGCATTTATGATATTTTCGACAAAATATTTCCATCGATTGAAATAATCTCGTTCAATTTTTTTAAGGTCAACAGTCAGGGTTAAATATTAAATTTTCAACTCTCGTTTCGGGACTAAAATTTGATAAAAAAAAATTTTAAAATAATTATAAACTTGGGATTAACAATTTTCCTTTATTTTTAAATCCGGTATTTGGGAACAAAATTTTTTATATATTTCAATCAGGTATTTGGGTTTAAAAATTTATTTTTAATTTTTCAACACGGTTTTTGGGATTCAAAACTGGAAAACAAGTTTTAATTATGATTTTCGTGATTACAAAATAAAACAACTTTTAATTTAAATATTAATTAAATTATTTTTAATGCAGTATTTGCAACCTGATATACATATATATATAAATATGTTTAAAAAACTACTAAAAAAATACGAACCAAAAGAATATATATTAATTAAGCTTTCATACTATTTTTTTTTTTTTGCCCTGAGCAGCTTAATACAGCCATGAAGTTTGTAACACCCAAAAGAAGACGTCGGTGACCCATCAACATTTAGTTCATGATATCAAAATCAAGTTTGTGCAAACTTTTTTATTTGTGAAGGGTATTCTAGCAACCTAAGTTTGCTTCTTTTGTTATTTTTCTTACAGAACTCGATAATAGATATATATATAGATATTAGGCAGTCTTTTGCAGCTTCTTTAATTATCAACAATTAAAGTTGAATTTAACAAGCAAGTGTGTCTAGCGAATTATGAATTAAAATTAGTTAATTAAATTATTTAAAATATTAATATTGCAATATTCATATTTAAAATTAGCTGCATGGAGATGCAGCATTTTGTACTCTACATTGAAAACAATATAAATAAATACAGTTTTGATAAGCACACACACTACATATTCGCTAAATAAATTCCACTTTAATTTTAATGATTAGGTGTATATTTTTGAATATTTATTTGTGTTAACCATTTATATTTTCAAATAATTTATTAGTGTTTTTTAATACAATAATTAAGCAGAGCGCGTAACACTTTTCGCTTTTGTCTCCCTTTTGTTAAGAATATATCGGTGAATATACATAAATAAATATATATGTGAATTCATTAACTAATTATTAAGCGTCTCTTCCTAAAACTTGTGTACGCTGAGCAAGCTGCTCTAATGTATAAAGTCACCGCTTTAGTTGTAAAACTTTTTCTCGAGTCTCGCGTAGTTTTTATTAGCCCTTTTTTTGTGTAACAATTAGTCTGTTACCCTTTTGTTTTAGTTACGTTCACAATACTTTACATAGTATATGTATGTTTTATTAACAGTTTTGATTTTAACATACCACCAAAAATTAGTTCACGAACATAACAACTAGTTACTAATTAAAAAATATAATATAATGTTTGTCCAAGAAGTGAGACCCATAAAGAGATGTAATCGCCACCATTAAAAACAGACACCCTTATATATCTAGTAATTAAATGTTAAACATTAAAGTTCATTAACATTTTTAGTATACTCATTTTATAGTTCACAGCTGTTCTAAAAATTTAATGACGTTTTTCTTAGCCAACAGTATTTTTCATATGGTAGTAGCGTATATACCTAAATTACAGTTTTTTGTTGTTGTATTGTACACTTCATATTTCAGTTTAAGCGCCATTTCCCCTACCTCTCAATCATCTCGTTGGCTCCTAACAGTCTATCAACAAAATCATGTTTAAGTTTATCTTTTTCGCCATTATATATAGTTACATAATCGTATTTTATTCTCAGTTATTTAGTATACAGTTATTTTCGAGTATTTTTTAATACTTCTTAGTCGTTTGTTCACTAAAATGTTATGAATAAATAAGTAAGTTTAGCATAATATAGTAAAAAATGGTATTTACCCGGTTTCATGGCATCATCACATATAATTTTGGGAACCGTTAACTTGTCATTTGTTTTGTTTTTACTTGGAATTCGTTATTGTTTACAGTCTGTGATTTATTCGTTGATACTGAGAGTGTTATAATTATACATTGTTGCATTTAAATAATAAATATTGTTGAGGCGGAAATTTTAATACTAATTTTAGTACTAGAAATCAATTAAAAAAGGTTCTGACACTCCTCATAGTAGAAAAACATTCGATATTACCGAGTGCACATATTCATTTTTTATCGGGAGTGATCTAGGCGAATTATTTTCTTAATTCTTAACAAAATTAACAGATTCTTGCCCATGAAAATATAAAGATATGTACAAAAATGTTCTATTATAAAATTTACTATGGCAAACTGCGTGCGTAAGCAAGCATTGGCCACTCAATATTTATGTCTTGCGGAATTTTCAGTGCAGCATTAAATTAAATAATAATTAAAAATGTATTACTAAAAGCAGCCTACATGCTATATATTTTATAGAGCAAGTATATATATTGTAATATAACAGCTAAATGTGTTGCTACATTTACATAACTCAAAAGAACCGGATATCAAGAACTTAACTCTATCTCTATCCTTTCATTATCAAATATTCAGAAATATATGGTAGTAAACTCTCTTTTCTTTAACTGAAAGGTCAATAAAAACCTTGAATAATAGATTAAAATTATTAAAATTTCTTAATCATTTAGTTATAAGTAGAAAAACTTATTTTAATACTTTCAACAATAGTGGCATCTACGACTAACTACACTGTAACAAATAAAAAATTCTGTTTTTATTTATTTTTTTTTTTAATTTTTCACATTCGGCACACTTTCGACTCATTACATTAATATGCAATATTGTCCATTGATTTTGAAACGCACTTACTCATATTCTTCACAATTTCTTTATACTACGCTCTCGCTCATCTATTACTACGCTCTATCTCTCTCTCCCCCAAATGTGCCTTTCAGCTGCATACATGTATTATGTAAATAACTCAAGTATTTTTTTATTAACTTTATTAAACTTAAATAAATGCACTGTTGAGAAAGTAATAGAGTTTTGACGATTTCAAACATAATCGTAAGTATTTGCAATAGCTGAGTATTATGAAAGCAGCAAAAACAAAAATCCGAGTTTGTTTCTTTAGTCTTTTGAGCAGTATGTACTGCTACACAACTGCTTAGGGTTTTATTACTTGAGTTTAGCATTAAATAAATAGGCGCATTCACCGTAACTACTACACACGTAAAACAAATAAATGTATATATTAAAAAAAACTATATTGTAAAATACAATCACCAATACACCCACGTTTTAGCGGCGCCTCTTTAGTGTGTACCAAAGTAAAAATTTCATATTAATTACAGCGTAAAAGTATTTAAAGTGAATTCAATTTTTTCCACTTATCTTTTTCACTTTTTTGCCTTCTCTACTCAGTAAATAGTAAACAAAATAATATTTTTCAATTAAATTTCCTCAGAACTTCTAATAGTAATGAGTCTTTTATTTAAATATGTAGCAGTAAAAAAACGAAAAATAAATAAAAATCGACTTGGTGTGTGTGTGTGTGAAATGTGCGCAGTTAGTGTGTGCGTAAGCAGGTTTATTGGGTATATTTGCTACGCTGCCTAAAACTGTCTGCGGCGTCTACGTAAAAGAGCACCCTTTATACAGGTGGAGTGTAAATATAAATACAACGAATACATATGTGTAGTGGCACAACAAACTAATAAAGGCCACTATTAGTAGCGTAAGCGACGAAAGCTGCTAGTGTGTGTGATTTATAAACACAAAAAAAAAAATAACAAATTAATAGTAAATAATATTTTTTTGGAAGGGCCTACAGTCTTTTGTATTGCAAATATACGTAAACATTTTTTTTTACAACTCTGAACCTCCCCCGCTCCCGTGTATATTTGTACATAATTATATAAATTTATATAAATGTATATGTGTGTTAACTTTAGGCTGTGTTCGCTAGTTGGATACCAGAAATCACTGAACTGGCAGCGCAAAGAAGCAAATATGGTGGAACATATAGCAAGGATCCTAGAAAAAGGTACACCAACCACTGCGTTGTACCGCTCTAGCGTTAAACTATACCTACATACTACATACATATATACTATGAACCAATTACTATCCACATACCAAAACAAAAAATAAACCAAACCAAATATACTACATCATTACTTAATTAGTATGATAAGTGATTAAATAAGCATTTAAACTTAAACTAAAAATAATTGAAAAATTCATTTGACTCACTCGATTTGAATTTTATCGCATAAACTGAACAATCCCAAATACAACAAATATATATTCAATTAAATTAGCTTACTAAATTTAGTGAATTTTTAGTATATATACTTTTACAAAAATTTTTTTATTATTTTATTTTCATTTTTGTTTTTAATTTGCTTTATAATTTTTGCACTTTTGATTTCTTTCTCTTTCGCTGAAACAATTGAGATTTGTAATTTCTACTCAGAAGTCAACGTAAACTTCTCCAAATGCAAACTCGAATTGCAAACATAAGCGCAAATGCAATGAAATTTTTAATAAAAACAAATTAAAATATATATTTTTTTTATGTAAGAAAGCATTTACAAAACTTTTTTATAGCCTTGTGCGCATTATTGTGAACCAACAACATTATCTCTATAGAATGCTTAACCAAATCCAACGCAAAAAAGTTATACAACTGTTAGTTAGTTAATAAACCGTTTATGTATTTCCCAATTTCATTTAACTGATGTGAAACTTACAAAAGAAAACTACAGCAAAAACCAAATTAATGAAAATTAGTTAGAAAAATCAGCGTTGATCAGAAAAGCATTGGTTTCTTGGCGGCATGTGTTTCTAATACTTTCTTTATGTGTTTAGCTTTACATACATACATATATATTTTTCACTCCACTCTCTACATAACGTCTTAGTAGCAGCGAGGCGGTAACCAATTTGCTAGACTAAGAGCTATTTTTGTAAGGCGTATCTGTGTATCTCAAAAAATATTAAATAAATAATTTTGAAATGTGTATAATTTTGAAAAAGAAAAAAAAAATAATAATTAGTTACAGAAAATAGCATACAAATATATAACACACAATATGAAATGCTTTGCAAAGCAAAATCTTTTTTTTTTTTTTGTTTTACATTTTTGCTTAAACTCAAATAATATATATAGTATTTAAGTTTTTTTGGGTGGCAAAATCTAACAAAATATTAAATAATATTTTTTATATCCATTTGTAAAATGAAACAATTAATTTAAAATTATTATTTTATTTATATTTCTTGTAAACACGCTCACTTATTCCAATAAATACTCGCATTTGCTTTCTAAATGTTTCCATTACAAATTTGTACCCAACATGCATTATCCTATACAAGCTTCATAAAATGCAAAGTGATTTTTTTTTTTGCTATTTTCTACTCCACACGACATACAGATGCTTGTTATTCGAGATATAACATTCATCGCCTCTCAATTATTTGAAAAGTTGTAAAAATATAATTTTTAAACTGCTATGCGTTTTTTAGGGTGTGCCAAAAAACTTTTATTCGACGATATTTTCACGGTAATTAAGAAAAAAATTAAAAGTTTTCTTGGCCCATTCTAATATTTATTTTTTAATTTCTTTTTTCATAAGTGCAAATTCATAATAGCAAATTTCATCACCAAACTCACAGTCAACAAATAATGTTCATATGATTATGCGTCAATATTAGAAAAATGTCAAAAAATTTACACTTCGCATGATTTTTTTAATCATATTTTTAATTTTTGCCTTTTACTCATTCCGCACTAAAATATATATATTTTTTTATCACTGCTTCCCTGTGAAAATCAAAGAATTAAAATTAAAACCTTTCAAGGCCCGAAAAAAGTGTTCGAAGAAATGTTTTAGGTATAAAAGTAGAATGACAAATACCGAGCTAACAAATATTTATCTCGCATGCGAAAACTAAGCCCCCACCAAAACAACGTGAAAATATCTTTGAGTTAGAATCGGTCCATTATCAACTATAAAATTTAATTTCCAGTTGGATATATTCAGCATAGAAGTAGGGGAAATAATAAATGCTATGAGAATATGCCAGAAAGAAACTTTTGTTACTTATTTTTTTGGTGCTCCCATTGCGTTCAAACAAGACAACACCTTTTATCAATTTCCTACATTCCATTTTATAACAAATTCTCAAATTTGTGTACGCTTCACTTAGATGACACTCAAAAATAAGTATTTTGGCTTAATTTCATTCTGATACTCCATTTTCAAAACCTTTATTGTGTATATACATATAAGTATATATATATACCTATATGTGCAAGTTTATAAAAAAAAAAATAGAGTTAAATTAAATTGTTTAATGTATTGCCCTCCCATGTACTCATCACCGCCACTTTTATGATTACTCTGTCGAGTAATCGCAGGCTTTCTACCATGTCCAAGCATACTGCTAATTGCGTATTTAGGCTAGATTAGGTTATTCTGGCCGGCTATCAAGCCATTCATAGATCTACTCGTTCTTTGTAATTCTAAATGGAGTTTCAGTTTAATTCAAACTGAGGTACTCTTTAGATAGGACATCGATGGTTTTTGCGAAGTTTAAGCGAGACTTGATATCAAATTTTGATACTCAATCTAGATCCTTGAACTGCAAAGCTTCTAGATATCTAAGACGAGTTCTAGATAAGACCGGAAAGAAGCAGAGGAGGGATTCCAGAGCCTCTCTCAGGCCTACTTTCCTGCAGGTTGTGCAAATGTCGTCATTACTAATGCTCACCCGACTTGCATGTGATGTCAGTAAGTTGTGACCTGTCACTAGACCAACAACTGTCCTGCAGTGATTGAAGTTTTGTGTAATTAAAATCTTGAAGAAAAAAAAGTTTACAAACAATTTAAGAAAAAGTTTCCATGTTCAAAGTGAGGAAAAAGTCTGTTGAGTGAAACATTTAATATAAATTTAAAAAAAAAAAAACAAATCCAATACACCCATAACAACAAACAGAATCAAAAAAGTTTTATAAATTTTTTTTTTTTTGTTAAAAACCCGGTGATGCTAAAGATCGCTTAGAAAGGTATTTTTTCAAAATTAAAAATGATTTATTATTATGGTTTAAATAATTTTTTCAAAAAGATCTCATTAGAGATGACCAAACAAAAACAATTTGTTATAACAGCATCTGAGCTTAAGGATACAATACCCAATCAATATGAATCTCTCTACCTCTGTCGCTATCACCTGATTCAAGCCTTATACTGGATTTTACAAAAGGGGTACCTTGAAAAGAAAAACATTTTTTTAAATTTATATTTTACAGTGTTTTTTTGGGGATTATTTTATCTTGTTAAACTCCTGTCCTCACTAAAAAAATATGTCAAAAAATGTTTTTCATTATATTTTCCAGGAAAAATTCCATGAGAACTTGTTATGCAGTGGTTAAAAGAATATAACTTGCACTATTATAGAAATTAAATATAATTGATAAGTTGTTCCAACTTATGCCTCCTTCTTGTATGTAATTTATCAAGCAAATGGTACAATTAATTGTTAGTCTGTGGCTTAAAGAATTTTATTTGTGTTTATAGTTTAATGCGTAAAATGACAACTTACCTTCAGTGAAATGATTATGTTAACACAATATTAACGCTTCCCGCACATACTAACAACTCGTACACTCTCTAAAACAAACAGACTTCTAGTAAAGATTATTTAAGTTTTGCCATGAGAACGCAGCGAGAAAGAAAGAAATCAAAACCATATTAAAGCTAAAATTGACGTTTTATAAATATATTAAAAAGATAATATTTATAACAATCATGAAAATACAATATATATTTTTTTACTTTCATTTACTTTTTTTTAACTAATTTTTACATTTAATTTTGTACGTAACGGTTTTATTATAATTTCAACGCTGAGCTTTTGCCCGATTGTAGATTGATTTGTTCAATATCAAATATTTTCCCTTTATTTTGCTTACTTTTTAAAAAATAAAAAAATATACGTTTGATTTTAATAAATAATTTCCCCTCTCACAATTCCTTGAATATAAGTATAACAATTTCACAAGTTTTTTTATAGTTTGATGATGCTGTAGCTTTGCATTCTATTACTTAACGCAGTCGTATTACACCGTTGAAATATATACTTACATATTTAGCAATAATTTATAGCGTATATATTTTTCTTGTAAATTAATAATAAAACAAAGCAAAACAAAAAAAAAATAGTGTACAAATTATTATTGATAAAATATTTTTAATGAGTTCAATTTTATTGCTTGCACCGTTCGTTCATTCGTTCGTTCTCGTTCGTTCGTTCTCGTTCGTTCGTTCGCTCGTACTGTATGCCGCAGCCACGCATAGAAAAAGTCAGGTGAAAAGAAAATTAAATTTATTTTATAAAGCTCACGATATAATATAATATAAGAAACAACAACATGTTGATGAAAAATACAGTTTTTTTACCACAATCTTTAGGTAAACTTTCAAGCAATTATGCCAAATCATACAATGTCATCATGAATAATATTATCCTTTTATAACCCCGAATTCCTAAAATATTCCTGCAGTCATCGATTAGTTAATTTTTTTTACAATTATTCACAATATATTTATATTTGCCTAGGTCATTTAAAGCAATCATTATAGCCAAGCGCACACTCACCCATAAGTATAGTGCACCCTGTATTAGTTGTTTATGTCACATTTTACAGTTTACCGTCACTATCGTTAGGATAGCGCTGTTTTTAGAAAACTAGCTTAGATTTTTTAGCAACTTTGAGGTACAAGAAATATAATATGTGTATAAAGTTAATATTTTTTTATATATACATACATATACATACTGGTAGGTGAATATACTATTTAGCTGTTGACTAATTTAAACCGATTTACAGTCAATTATAAGTTTTCTAATAAGTCGTAGGTTTAAAAGTTAAATTTTCTATCATATATTTCAGCAGCCGCAAATTTGTTTTTTTCGTTTTTTTTTTTAACGCAGTTGTAAATATGTTTAAATGAAAATATACTCGCAATTATAAACATA